AAGACGTGGGCTAAATGTTTGTTTTAAAAATCATTTGAGTGAATGATTTTAATCAGGAAACAGTTTTTTTGTACTACTGAATTTGTGCAGCTAATCTATCAACTCTGATAATACTTTTTCGTCAGTCTAAAATAATACATTCGGGGTTAGACATTAACACTTTCGGGTGCCTGCCTAGTAGTCCAAAGGTTAGGAGTTTGAGCGAACTGCGGAAGGTTCCAGGTTCGAATCCTGTAAGATACAGGAGTCGTGGATGCACACTGCTGATGAGCCCCAAACCAGGACGAAACCGCGTCTTTCAGTGCTTGCAGGTTTTTAATGGTAGTCTAACAGTGATTGACTGATTATTTCAAAAATGTGTAAAAGTTCATTATAAACTCTGATTAAAATGTTTGAAAACTAATAATTAGGAAAACATAACCTTTAATCCAACCTCAAATCTCTTAATCATGGACTATAATAATAGAGAGGTTTGTCAAATAATTAATTCTGTCACTAAATATTAGGCTGTTTTGTAAAACAATAAATAATCATTTAACCCTGACACAGTGAACTTAATGAATTTACTTTACAAATTCCTAAGTTCAACTTATTTCACTAATTCTTGAATATAATCAACAAATCATTTTGTTCACTAAATATTTTGTAACAACCTGATAACATTGGACGGCCAATTCGTCCTAGTATGAGATTCATCAGCAATTTGCTTCTACAACGCTTGCATGCTGTAATCAGTTTCGCACGAGAACTCTTAACCTTCGAAACACTGAACCAGCATCCGACGATGTTAAGTGTCTAACTTTGGTCACCCAAAGTGCTTCCATATTTCGAATGCTGTTCTAACAATGATCAATTCATTATTTCAAGTAAACCTAACATTCTCGATAACCTCAATGTAAGGCTTTATTGTCTCATACCGTAAAGTAATGGGATTTGAAACAGTGAATTAGAACTCATTTGATAGATGGTTGACAATTCATCGTTTATTGCATAAATAGTCAAGGGAAAACGTCATGAATGAATAAAATAGTGATTTACTACGCTGAATTTCATGTTTCATCCAAATTAATCAAGATGAGACATTACTTGGTGATTCACATTGTTCAATTTTCCTAACTACAAATAAGATTTTAAACAGTCACTCATATCAGGAAGAAGCGAAAAGATAATTTGCTGTCTTCATAATATTGATCCGTGAAATTAGTCAGTCTATTGATTTCTTTTACAAAATGAATTCAAACACTGAATTATTGATTAATTTGTGTTAACTTTGACCTAGGACGGCATACTGAAAATTTTCTTGTTTAGTTAAGTAAGTGATTTGCAACACGTCAGTGGTTGACGGCATTTCAATCAGTTGTGAGACAGTGTTTTACACTTGAAAGAATCTGTAGTTGAGGAACGAAATACATACTTCTTTTCATCACTGAACGGATGTAATTTGTTATTATGACATGAGCAAAGTCAGCTTTTTGTAAAGTCGTTAGATTTTTCCCGGTAATCAATTTCTTAAACACTGCTAACCATTTTAAAAACTCACAACAAATAGTCAAATAATTGAAAATTACACGCTAATATGAAGGATTAGCTCACTAAATGAACCAAATCCATGGAAATGACGCAATACGGGATAACACAAACCTTATTTAATTTCAAAAACTTTAAAAGCGAAATCTCATGATTCGACATAGACATTGTTCGAATGATTACATCACATCCCATTGCACTCATCAATTTACATGTTTGTGTGGACACACATACATAGTGCAAATTAATCAGACTTTGCAATCAAGGGTTATGGAACATGTATCTAAGTGGCTACAAAATCAAGACAAACATCAAAACATATACAGAAACGTTGAAGGACGAGTTTTGAGGTTTATGCAAGCTATTTGAAAATTAAAACCCCCCTTTATGTGAACAGAAACAATTTGTTATAACCTTGAATTTACTCTGGTAATCTTCCAGCCATTTTATGGCCTAGAGTGATGTGACAGTTTCCTACCCTTTCTTGTTCCCTCTACACTATGTTAATTTTCTCTCTCCCTTATGCACAATAATCATCTCATATCTATTTAAACTTTTATTTAATTGACCTTTTGATAAATTTCATACAAAATGCCTTGACAAGTTTATTTGTGTGACCCATTTGTTCAAAATACATCACATTTCTCATCTGGTCAATTCGATCTTCTCATTGTTCTACCCAAAATTTATAAAATTAAAAGCTAGCAACTAAAATCCAAAACATTTTTAACTGAGAAATATGCTGCAAAGTAAAATTTCCTAAATAAGAACAAGCCATAAAAAATCACATGTTTTCAATATCAGTGACAAATACATTTTTGACTGAATGCTTTATTGGCAAGCTGGTAAAACATTTTTTAATTTACATTTGAAACCATGAACTAGTAGAAACCTGGAAGCACTGGATGGTCGTTTCGTCCTGTTACGGGAACTCATCAACAGTGCACATTCACGAATTCTGCTTTTCACAGGATTTGAACCCGGGACCTTGGGTCTATACTCTGGACCATTGAGGCTGTATCTAATTGTGTTAATGTCTAATTTTGATCAATTCACAGAGTTGCACAACCTCATACACAGTGTTCGGTAGTTACTGTCTACACCTTAACAATCTTCACAACCCTGTAATACATATTAATATAATTTATTGCATCGTGTTACTATTGAATTACGGATTACATTTTACAGATTATTGTCAAGTCATCATCATCATCATGAAGTCAGTGTGTTTTTGTCACCGTTTAAGTGTAATTTTTCAACAGATCAATATTTCATTTTACCTTACTGAATTTTAAGATTACAAATTATAATAATCATGTGTGTTCATTGTTTATTATAGAGGAACATTAAATACTTCATAAATCTCATAAACATTGTATCTACAATTATTGACTTAAATGTTCACATTGTATCAGTCAATTTAGAATTTTAGTGTGATGATTATGTGGTTATTTTAAATTATGATCAATTTTGTCTTGTCAATAAATGATCTCAGGTATTGATTCTCGTGGATTATGATGAAATTGTGAGAAATTTGTCAGATCGCTATTCTAATGTACTTGAAAACAGTGTGTGCTACTTACAACGACATTTATAAGTAGTATGCAATCAGTGTGCATCAGTGTCGCGCGCTGAATTGACACAGACGAATTGAAGATTGTTGAATTCGGATGGATGATGCGATCGTTGTGTTTGGAAGAATACAAGACATTTAAGGGGAAGACAGACAACCAAGAATATACTTGTTTTTGCAAATGGCTGTTTTATCTTGTTCAACTCGTTCATACCATCTTACAAAGACACAGAATGTACATATCAACTGAAAGAAAAACCCTAGAAATAATAGGAAGAAAATTTAAACATAGCAGATTGCAAACAATGCACAGAATGGAAATCTTTTAGTTTTTTTTTCTAAGAATCTGTTTCTTTTTTACATTGCCTAATTTTATACTTTTAGTTAGTCCAAAATTTTTAAATATTTTTTTTAAAATTAAGCATAAGTGATTTGACCTCTTACAAGGTATAATTACAAAATATTAACGTATTTTCCACAAGAAATACACCTGGATTTTTATTACTGTAAGAGCAAAAAATGTACGTACTTTAATGTGCAAATCGATAAAGCATGCAGTTCATTTCATTAAATTAGAGATTTCCATTCCTGAGTTTTCTGTAAGGTGATAGAAACATGAAATTTGGTTATAGTTTATCTTATAAGAAAGCATTGTTAACAAATGAATAATAGAAACAGGGCAAATTTATCACATCTGAATCAGTGAACAGGATACATCTCAGTAAAAAACTACTTCAATGACAGTACATATTTTTTATCTCGACTTATTTCAAGCAAGTTAGAGTATATTTTAAAAATTTATTTTTATGATTTAGGAATCATTCAAACAAAGATTAAATAACTGAACTTCTGTTTCATTTTGTGGTAAAAAATTTTATCAAAATAAAAATAATTAAAAACTTATTTTGGTGCTAACGGATACAGAAAGATCGATTTGTTTTTGACAAGTTGCGTCATCTTTGGCGAGATATCCGTTTTCCCACCAAAAAACGAATCTACTGTACAGCAGTTTACTCCATCTTACTTCATGGTTGTGAAACATGGCCGGTAAAAGTAGAGGACATTAGTGTGTTATTAATATTGGATTAAAGATGTCTTCGAAGCACTGCTCATATATCCTGGGACAACCAAGTAAGCGAGGAGTACTAGGTAGGGATGGTAGATCAATAGATGATGTATTAGAACTTCATCACCACCGACTGCCTCGATGAGGTATGTTATGTAGTTTAGGAGTAGGTCGGAATGTTTCTAGGGGCGGTCAAATCAAAGCATGACATAAATTTATGAAGTCATTGACCAGTAGAATGAGTCATGCTGGCTGATGTAGGCTACCTGGTTGGGGTCCGCGAAACGTAAGACACCAATGGTTAGAGACCTTAAAATCGTTTGCAATGGTGTAGATGCATTCATTCAATGTGTTCTCTCAAATTATATCTGCCTGAATTCCTCATCATCTATATCTTTCTGTTTCTAAATTTATCTCACTGAACTATACTTCTCGAATCTCCATTACTGCTAATACTTGTACTATCTGTCCCGCTAATGGGCTTGAACTGACGTTTACATCTCTGTGCTAATGCGGTTTGCTAACCTGAAGTGATGTACGTACGTAAGCAATTCTAAGTTGTAACTAACTGACTGACTGACTGTTTAGTTTTCGAATGTTTTAAAATTGTCCTTGAACTATAGTTTACGGAAATTTCTTCAACTCTTTGTTTTCAAAGAATTTTTTTTCAAAAGAATAAAAAATTATACAACTATCAGAAATCAAATTAGTAGTTTTAAACTATTCATATTAAAATAAATTCCATCCAATCATAGTAAACAGCCTTGAAAAAAAACCAAGGTCACGCTGACATATTTTATAGGCGCAATAAGGTTATTTTTAATTAATTGTCAGTATTACTGTTATTTTAACGCGTATACAATGTGTGCAACTCATATATTGTAACTGAAAATTCTTCTTACTTTGTACATCATCATTACGCTTACACTATCCACCTGTAAATATCGATCGATTCACTAAATTATCCAGAAAACTAAGTATTGGTTCTTATCCGATGGAAATTCAGATTACTATACATACAACTGTATACATAAATAGCGCCTAATACAATTGATTGACAGTCACTAGTCAAATATATTGTCAATCTGTACGAAAAAAAATAAGATTTAGTCATTTCAATGAGATCGCAACGAATTTCTAAACGAAATACATTTTTCGCAAACTGTGGAAACGTACCAATGAAGTCGATTTTGCATATATCATGGCTATTGATTTTATTATGGAAATTATCACATTTTGAAATTGATGCCAAAATTGCCATTGAAGAAACAGGTACAGGTCATTTTGTAGATTCAAAAGGATTTGTAAAATTATTTCATGGTATTAATTGCGTGCACAAAGTGGATCCATATTACTTTCCAATATTACTTGAACCATCTTCAATGAAACAACTAAGAGATTGGGGATTTAATGCTATCCGATTAGAGCTTAGTTGGTTTGCATTGAAACCATCGGAAGATGTGACTAATCGGGCATATTTAAATATAATTGAAAAAATTATTGATAATGCTGGATTATATGGAATTTATGTTATCATTGACTTACATCAAGATGGATTATCTGAACGTTTGGGAGCAATTGACGCAGCACCAAATTGGTTTATGGATAAAATAAGAAGACCACCGAAAGCATTCGAATATCCTTGGCCATTAACAAAAGCACCAAGTAAAGCCAATTGGTTTCTCACATATGCTACATATGAAAGTGCACATGCATTTGAAAGTATTTATCAAAATGTTTCAGGATTATGGAAATATTTTGGTGAATATTGGATGCTGGCAGTAAATCGATTTGGAAAGAAAGATAATGTGTTAGGGTATAATTTAATTAATGAACCTGCACCAGGAAATTATTATATCAATCCATTTCTGCTTTTACCTTGTAAGTTACATTGCACTGCTTCGAATTGCTTGTAATTTTCAATTTTTAAAAGTGTAAATGTTCGGTTGATAGGTTGACATATATATATATATATATATATATATATATATATATATATATATATATATATATAATAGTTTTGAATGTACTTGAGTAATTTCATATCACACTACTGTTATAGTGAATTCACGGTATGACATCCATATTCTTATTCATAAAAAAATATTTAAGTATCAATGTGAAATCTATAAAAGTGTATTTTTCTACGAAACTAAGTAATCAGAATTTTTTATTATTTGGTTAGAGAAAAGGAATCGGAAGTATTCAGTCAAATTATCAATTTTAAATAAACGTGGAATCATTGGAAGGCCGTTTTATCCTGATGTGAGACCCGTCAACAGTGCGCATTCACAATATGTGCTAGTTGCAGGATTTGAACCTGGAACCTAACCTACGGACTAGTGATCAGGTACCCAAAGGGGCCAGTGTTTAACTTCGATCAGTCCATGGTGTTGGATGATGATAAGTCTCATACCAGGACGAAACGGTCGACCAGTGATTCCGGGTTTCCAATGATGGTCTAACATTGATCGATTCACGATTACAATAAAGTAACTCAACAATCTCCACAACCGTTTAAGCCAGCTTATTCACATTCTTGTTCTTGGTTTGTTGATATAGTCTTGAGACAGTGGATTACAGAATATTTTCATTCCCTACATTTCTATTAAGTCTCCTAGGTTTTCAGTGTGTTGATGTTAGAAACAAGTCTAACTTGTTCAAACAATGAAGTTTGAAATGTAGACAATTAACCTAATATGAAGCACTTTGATATTCAACTTGTTGAGACTTGTGAGTGAGGAAATTTCAGACTGGAATACATTCTTTACAGTAATTGTATAGGAAGACTCAACAACGATGACAGTTTCTGAGTGACATTGTCCTAGTCATGTAAAAATCGTTTCAAATTCACATATAACCATGTATTTTTGATAATTATTTCTATCTAAAACCGAATCGCCCGAACAATGCACACCTAGGCACTGATAGATACATGAATCAGCACTCCGTAAGTGTTTCGATAAGCTGTCATTCTTCCTTCATCGTAAAACCTAAGTTTTCATAGAAGGTAACGTAGTGGTCGCTGCATCGATATAATGATTTCGTACTTTGTCTGATTGAGTAAATGATTCAGTAGAACAGAAAATTCTCAATCTTGAATTAATTTTTACCCTGTTTCAATAACGGAATCGGATTTTTATTTTTAATTACTAAAATTAAAATACGACATCTAATAAACTCATCCACCTGAGCTACAAGTTTTCTCCACCATCTCAAAAACTCTCTTTTTCCAATGATTCCGGAAAGCACATTAAAGCTTTTAACAGAGTTTATGAACATCTCTTACTCATTGTACTCCTCATACTACTTTCATTTCATTTCCTCAGATTCAATCACATTAATGTGACTTTGTTTCACAAGTGAACTTATTTCTGAGAATATTTTAACTTGACTGTTTTAATATTTCCTGTTCATATTTGTTCAGACTACCATTAAACCTCTGTATACATAAAATTATTACGAAATCTGTTTTTGTCAAGCTAACTGAGTACTACTGAGATATTTATAGAAGCTGACAAAACTGATGAGATGATTTTGTGACGGGTATTTGTTTTCATTAATGGTTGATTTTATCAAATTTTTTCTTTATTCACCTGACTTTGCAACAAAGCACAAATTTGTAAAAAGAAGTAAGAAATCTAACAATTTGAATTTCAAGATAAAATATAGTTCAATTATGAGACGCATTAATTACAAATGATTCCTTTTTATGCCTTGAATCTTTGACAATCATTGATATACTTACTATAATTGGATATTTTATGTGTCTTTATGCAAAGAATTTTATTTATTATGAGAAGAAATTACAATCATAGATTTGGCATTGTTCCAAGTTATGAAGTTATGAAGTATTTGATAGAGAAAAATACAATACAGAGTCTAAGACAATCGACTATACCGTTTGTTATTTCTGATAGTGCAGTTATTGATCTTACTACGTTAGTAACAAATAAACAACTTCTAGATTATATTCACAGTCGGAAGTAGCCGACACCCTTCTTCCACAAGATACGAAATATTTACTTTTTAGCAAATTCACATCTTTCGACTAAAATCAAAGACTTCAAAGTAAAGATTATGAAGTGATCATTAATACGCATGTGAGTTCCGAGACAATTAATACTCAAAACTGAATATTAGTACAAGAATTTGGATGGAAGGAATGTCAGATT